ACTAACCCCAAGGTCATGTTTATTTTTACTAATGCTGGGCCCAGGACATTTTTACCCCCACTGGCCACAAACCCAGCCCTCCTAAACTCTGAAGGACAGTAGACTGGCCCTTTGTGTGAAAAGTTTGGAATCCCCTGATATAGGCTGTTTATATTTCAGTATATTAATTCTGTGTCCTTATGAGTTTCTCATGTACATTCCATGTGGACCACAGGGTGCCGGGAAGAGTCTATACGCTCTCCCTACTCAAAAGACTCTCCCCATTGTTTAACCTTGTGGAGACTCTTCCATCCCTTGACCTCGTGTCTAGGATATTTGTTGTTTTACTATCGTACGGTACATATTACTGTTTAGCCAGTTCGTTAGATGCAGACCATCCCTTGGCTTTGGCGTCTTTTTTTCTCTTTTTCTGCTTCCTTTACTCTCCTAATCTCTTTTACTATCTTTATTTGAGGGTCAACCTGGGATTCCGGAGACTTTTTTGGATACTCAATATCCTGTGCTGGTGGGCGAGTTTGTCTACTTATAACCATATCACTTGCTTTCCACATCTACCTTAAGACACCATACTGCCATGGTCCGATTGCTTTCCCATAATGTTCAAGGGTTAGGCTCCCCTTTCTAAGCGACTCAAAATATTTTCTCACTATAAGTCCCTGAGACTTGATATTGTTGCTTTACACGAAACACATTTTGCCCCTTCTTTCACACCTAGGTATATCCATAGAGATTTTCTGGTTTGTTTTTTCACGAACGCTTCTGAAAAAAAAAAAAAAAAAAAAAAAAAAGAAGAGGGGGTGTCGCTATGTCTATGTCGCTATGTTCTATGTTCCAGACGGCTATCATTCACCGAAAATAAAGTGATAAGGGACAAGGAAGGGCCATACCTTTTAGTTAAGGGACAATTAAGGGGTAATTTAGTAACTTTTCTTATTTACTATGCCCCTAATACATATCAGGAGGCCTTTTTCCAATCACTATTTAAATCTCTACTGAATTGGAAGGCGATCTAGCATCAGATCATACGCTCGATAAATCTCATGTAGTTAAACCTAAATCCCCTCCCAAATAAAGTCGCAACTTCAAACAACTTTTGTATCGCTAGGGTTTAATTAACATGTGGAGGGAAGCCAATCCTACCTCTAGGAGATTACTCCCATTGTTCTAGAGCTCATAAAATCAATATTCTTGTATAGATCATATTTTTCTCCTCTTGGAAATACACTCAGCCTTGGTTGGACCATGATCCTGTGATACTGACACTTTCTAAATTGACAGTCAAACTGGCCAAGCCACAATGGCGACTGAAGGAGTCCCTACTTAGCAACAAGTCCTACTGTATAGAGGTTTGGGAACATTTGAAGTCTTACTTTGCAATTAATAAAGCAGAAGATACAACTCCTGTTAACTGGGCAGCCCATAAGTCTTCTGTTAGAGACCTCTTTATCCAACTGTGCTGCAGAATTAAAACATTTCATGAAGAATTGATCTCTGCCAAATCTAAAGAAAACGAATCCTTAGTCGTCCAACATAAAATGGCCCTAAACTCCGATATGTTATCTAAGGTAGAGAAAACCCGGTTAGAACTTAACACCTCTGTCTCACCACTAAAGCAGAAAAGCAACTACGTTGGATGAATCAAATTCTTCATGTGGCGGGGCAGATTAGGTTCCCTTCTAGCGCATAAGCTTACCCCTAAATATATTCACTCGGCGCTTCCCAAACTTCGGCTTGCAGGGCGTCATATCACACAGAATCCTCAGAAGATCCTTCCGAAATTTCATGACTTATATTATACATGGTCAACCCCAGCCAGTTGAGCCTTCCTCAATTCGATCCTTTCTGGAGACTGCCTCTTTCATTCCTCATTGAGGCCCATAGAGAGCTTATGGAACAACCCATTACTGATGCGGAGCTTAGATAAGTCATTAAATTGCTATCCTCACATAAATCCCCAGGCCCGACGGTCTCCCAAATAGCTACTATAAAATTTTCTGACCATCTTCGCCCCCGTGACTCTTTATTTTAATTATTTAAGAGAAGAGGGAGTGGTTCCTTTAGATGAGAACAAAGCATATATTAGTGTCATTCCAAAACCCAATAAAGATTCTACTCATGTTCACAATTATCGCCCTATTTCATTAATTGTGAACTGAAAATCCTAACGAAACATCTGGCTTTGCGCCTTAACTCCTTTTTGGCACAATATATTTATAAGGACTAGTCGGGTTTCATCTCTGGTCATCAAACACTGGAACAGATATACCAGTCTGTCACTCTGATTTCAGCTGTGCGCTCTAATTGGGATGCTCCTCTTTCAAGGGAACTTTTGCAACTCTTTGGACCTTCGATATCCTAACGTGGGAATATTTGTTTACTACCTTACAGGCTTTTGGATTTGGTCCTACGTTTCTCACTTTATTGCACTCGTTATATGATACTCCCTCGGCTCAAGTTTCCATTAGAGGTTACAGATCCTCCGCGTTCCCAATTTGACGTGGCACTAGACAGGGCTGTCATTGCATTTTGTACTGGCGATTGAACACTTAGCTATGACAAGCCGCTCCCATCCCCAAATCCATGGCGTTCATTGTGGACATAAATGTGCCCTATTTGCTAATGAGGTTCTTATGTATATTACCTCTATCCCTCTATCAAGCTAATTACCCTCCCCTCTTTAAGAAACAATGATGATCTTTGCCATTGGGCTGAGTACACCTTGTCCTGGTTTGGTCATCGTGATTAAAATGATGTTTTCGCCCCGAAAGCTATATTATTTTCGAACCTTATCGGTACCAATTCTGAGACGGGAGTTGCAGCATTTACAAGCTGAGGTCCTCCGCTTTGTTTGGAATAATAGAAGACCTTGGATGAACCAAAAGACATTATATGCCTCCAAACTGCGAGGTAGGATTGGCCTTCTTAATCTTCATGCGTATTTCCAAGCCACTCAAATTGCTCAACTGGCCTACACCACTGCTAGCGAATCTATGCCCTCCTCCTCTGGGCTTCTATCTAAGCTTTTTCCTGCCAGCCCCTAGCAGTCTGTGCATTACTTTGGCTTCCTAAATCTATCGCGCCCTCCTATACTATGCCCCACTTTGTCACATTCTTTGACAGTTTGGGACAGAGTACGCACCACAAATCATTAGCTTCCGCTCAAATACCCTTAGCGCGGTTTCTTTTGTAACCCTTTGTTGGTGAATCAATACAAGGATTGTTGCAGATAGGAGACTGCCTTAATGGTGCTCGAATAAACGCTTTACAGCATTTTAAAGATAGGCTACAAATGCCCACTACTGAAATCTTCAGATACAACCAGATTCTCTCATTTACCCGCTTGAAGCTTACTTTACTGGATGAACCACCTTTACTGACTAAATTTGAACTTTCCTGTCAGAATAGGGATTTCCCCAGAGGCCATGTCTCCACAGTGTATGCTCTCCTCATTGACCCGAGCTGTAAGCTTTCCTATATGGTTCAATGGGAACAGGACCTGAATGTCAATTATGAACTATCGGATTGGCAAGTTATTGCCCTGGCACTATCTACAATTTCCATCAATACTACCCTATTTGAAGCAAACTATAAAACATTGTTGATATGGTCCCTACTCGGACTGAGAGGATGCATCCATCTGCTTCTGCGATAGGTTATGATAGGAACATATTTTGGATTCATATGTTTAATTTTCATCAATTAAGTGACTGGGGTAAATATTCACAGATCTCTGGAGATGGCCCTTTCAGAAATTTATAGATAATGTTACCAGGAAATTCCATAAATTGATCACCTATATGCTGATGGCAGCGAGAATTACTATAGCTAGAAATTGGAAGCAAAATCGGTTGTCCCGTTTGACTATGTTAAGAATAAATTGAATTAGATTATGATCAACGACAAGCTCACCTGTATTCTACACAATACTTAAAAAATTGACAAAACAGGGAACCCGTAGATTCAATATATTTCTGTCCCTTAAATGTCCCTCATCTTGACCCTCTCCTTCGCTTTCTCTATTCTCTTTTCTCTATTCCACATTATTCTCTCTTCTGTTTGCTTGGGTGGGTTAAGCTCAATCTCTATTTGTGTTGCAACATTTGTCCTGCCTCAAATGACAATTACTCTAACAAACTTATTTGCGGCGTTCTACAATTTACATATTTTGACAGCACATGGTTTGGTATTACTTGTTATCTTAAAATTATTCAATAAAAACTATTGGAATATTAAATCTGGGGCCATGAAATGGTTAACTGTGTTGTGCTTACACTGTGTGCTGTTTTACTGGGGAGACATGCTGCTTTCTCTCTCTGCTGTGCAGAGAGAGAAAGCAGCATGTCCATGCTGACAGGAGAGAGATCTGTGTCATTTAAACACAGATCTCTCCCCTCTCAGCTTCAGTGGTGATCACCGAGTGCCAGCCGAGAATCACCAGCCAGGACCCGGTGATCGACATCTGCGGCAACCAATGACAGCGCGGGTAGGGCAGCGTGCGCCCCCTATCCGGTACTTCAAAATCACGCATACACACACGCGTGATTTTGCACAGACTAGCCACCCTGTAGCAGTATATATCTGCTATAGGGCGGTAGGCAAGTGGTTAAAACATTTAAAGATTTGTAACTAGCGATAAATTAGTTTTAAAGCACATAATCACTAGCCTCTGTTTCTACAGGCACCATGGAATAATTTATCAGCACTGAAGTAATTTTTCAACAGATCAGCTCACTGTGCACCCCCTCCCTCAACTGACTCAGAAGCCCCTAAGCTATCATGTAAACAAAGAACAGGTTATCTAGAAAGGGTGAGGTAAGCTTCTGGAAACTTTAAAAATAAAATTTGCACCACAGTGCCTGCAGTTAGAGAATTCAGTGAGTGCTTGTTTTAAGCTCATTTACAGTTGTAAGATTATGTAAATACCTCAACATCCATAGCCTGGCCACAGGAAGAAAAGGAGAGCAAAAAGAGCTGTTACAGTGATGGAAACTTTAGCTTACCTTTTCACTGTCTTTTGCTGTTGAGTCACATTTGGCATTTACCGGTTTGTTGATGCGGTTCCATTCTCCTCCTTGATCAAAGCTGATGACAGAATGGACAGAATTATCTGGAAGAAAAGTGTGCCCAGAATAAACTGGAAGAATCCACTATCTGTAATAAACTCTTTATGAGCGCAAGCAGTGTCAACCAACCTTCACTGAGAACACTTGTGATGAATACTCCACGGAGGGATGTCACATTGGTGAAATCAGTTTCTCCTCCTGTTTTGGTATAAAGATGTCTGTCTAAGGATTTGGAATAAACAATGCCTCGATCGTCAGATGTGTATATGGTTCCAGAGCCTGTGTCTGAAAAAAAAAATACGTCACAAACAAAAATACCAATATGTTTTTACTTCCTTTGTTACAATACCTTGGAAAAATTAGGCTGTTAAACGTGACCTACAAGCTGACTTATGTAATGCTGAGCTTGTCAGAACTGAATATACAGTATTTAAAGCTTATACTTTAATGCAGATATAAAAGACACAAAGTCACGTAGCACAGCATTTGTTAATAAATTGTTAAATAAACCATGCCCCCAGCCTAAACTTCGAAATCTGAATCCTTCCTAAAGGATGAACTTGTGTCTTTTTTCAACCAGACTATAACTATGCTCTGTTATTTTCCAGATTTCTCTAAAAACTTTAGCTTTTGTTAAGTTTTCAAAACAAAAAAAAAAAAAAAAAAAAAAAACCACCTTAAACTTCTGGGGGGGAGGGGGTTTAAGATGCTCATCTTTGCCAGCCTTGCACTGCTGCCACTCCTCTTCCTCTAGCTCAATTGCCTCTCTGAGCTGCTCCCATCATAGCTACGCACCATTCAAGACAGCCTTCAGCAGCAGTAAACTTATGCAACTGCTGCACTTTTGTTTCGATTACTCCATAGCAACTAAGCCAAGGAACAACTGAAATCAAAGTGCAGCCACTGTCCGCCCCACCTCCATTCAAGAAGATGCTGATTGCATGAGGTTCCAGTTTCCAGGAGTCCCTGTTTGTGCCTTGTTCCAGCTACTTAGAGCCACTTTTAGTGCTGCATTCCAGCAATTGAAGCCACTGTGCTGAGTTCCATTTAAAGAGCTGCTATGTCAGTCTTGGATTCTATTTAAGGCGATACTTCCTATGCTGGTTCAGGCTCTGTGGAGATGTCTGATGGAGATGGACACTACCCAAGGAGTAATTAGTCTGTGCCTGCTGCCCACTTTAGTTAAGGAGCAATTAAAAGCAAAAGTGCTGCTGCCGTTTCATCATTTACACATATTCTTTAGCTAGATCGGCTCTGACAGCTAACAAAAGGCACAATTGCTAAATAAAGAAAGTAGTTTGAGCAGGAATTTGTACAGGGCATCACATGAGTGCCAGCTTTGGGTCTGCTGGGGCCAGTGGCACTGAATCCAAAATGGCGATGCCCAGCAGTCATTTAAAACCATATTTGTCTTCTACAGAAAGGTGGCTTTGATCAAGACATAGAAAACTTAAGGTAACTGAATAATAAATGCAATAGCTATACTGGATGAATCTGGGGATATGGTCTCTCTAAAAAAAGATTGCAGGATTATTGTACTTACTGTAAATCTTTTTCTTGAAGTTCATTAATGGATACATGAATGTAGCAATTCTTAGGCATTTAGGTTATACTGCAGCCTTCAGGAGGTTTGGACACTGGCAAACAAAGATGTTAAACCTACCCCGTATAACCCAGCTTTAAATGGTCATGCCAAATTTTGTGAGCAATTGGTACATAAAACCAATAACACAGGGACAGGATCTGTGTTCCTCAATGAAAATATTTTACTGCAAGTACAAAATTTGTATTTTTGTATTTTATCTACTGATGGACACATAAGATGGTCAGTAGTACTTCTTAGACATTTGGAACATCCAAAAGCAGTCCAATTAAGATGTGGGCAACAGACACGGGGAGATCCAACAGACGTGAAAATCTTACTATAAGAAACTCTGAAGCAAATCAGTGCCTAATGAAAGCTTGATGAAGAAGGTCCAAAAGCAAATATGGCAAAAACGCCATGACCAAAGGAAGAATATTGAGGTTCAACCTGGTGTTTCAGACCAGGACAGGTGAAACCCACTAAAGGGAAATCTGCTACCTGAAAACATGATGGACCATAATTAAATAGAGGTGTGAGGACAATCAGTCATCTGCCATAAAGAAACAAACTAATACTGTATCAGAATGACGGTAAGAATAAAGTGTGGAAAAGGCTTGAAACCGCTCATGATCCAAAGCACACAAGGTCATCTGTAAATCATGGAGGCAGTGTGATGGAATGGGCATGCATGGCTTCAAGTAGCGCAGGGTCATTGGTGTTTATTGATTATGTGACAGAAGACAGGCGCAGCTGGATGAATTCTGCAGTGTTTAGAGATATACGGTCAGCCCACATTCAGCTAAATGCAGTGAAGTTGATTGGACGGCACTTCAGTCAGATGGACAATGATCCAAAACACACTGCAAAAGCAACCCAAGAGCTTTTGAAGGAAAAGAAGTGGGATATTCTACAATGGCTAAATCAATCACCTGATCTAAACCCAATTGAGAATGCATTTCACTTGCTGAAGGCAAAACTAAAAGGCAGAAAACCCCCCAAAGAACAACTGACGTCAGCAGCAGTTAGAGCCTGGCAAAGCATCAGAAAGGAGGAAACCCAGTCTTTGGTAATGTCCATGGGTTCCAGACTTCAGGCAGTCATTGCCAGTAAAGGATTCTCAACAAAATATTAAAAATGAACATTTTAGTTATGATTATATTCATTTGTCCAATTAAATTTGAGCCCCTGAAAATAGAGGGACTGTGTATAAAAATGGTTGCAGTTCCTAAAATTTGTACTTGATATTTATGTTCAACCCCTTGAATTAAGTCTGAAAGTCTGCACATCAAATTCATTTGGATTATTTAGTTTTAATTTATTCTGGTGGCATACATAGCCAAAAGTATAAAAATTGTGCCTGTGCCCAAATATATATGGACCTAACCGTACATACTATAAAAGGATGTTACCTAATAGATAAGTAATATCTCAAAGATATCAGCATGGATAGAACACTCCTCTCAGCAGCAAATCCAAGTAAAGAAAAAGGAAGGAAACCTTTAATCTTCAAAGAACGATTGGGGTGATCCACAATATTTCTGTAAAAGGGGGCAGGGTTTGTTCCAAAAACAAACTCATTTCATGTGGGTGGTAACCACACTACAACCTGCCTGACCAAATATTCAAATACATGATTCAAGGATTCATTAAAAATAGCCTTGTAAAAGGGCAGAATCAACTCCATAGGACCTAGGGGTAGGAAACTGCATACTAACGATAGGGACAATTATTCTGATAGAGAGTAGGAAGAAAATCTATCCTCCAGTACTTGAGTCCCTCAAAGGCTCCTGGACTTACATTATCCACTCTAGGGGGACAGTGTCCAGCCTGTTGCCCTTCAAAAGAAGTAAAGTACCTATCAAGATAAAAACTTCCAGGGAAGGAAGAAAAAAAAAATGGAACGATACTTGCTTGCATGCAGAGATCCTGAAGAAATACTTTTTCAAGGACCAGAAAACAGCACAGATCACAAGATATTTTAAAGATCCTTGGCATACTGGTGACAGAACATCCAAATGGTTTAATAAAAGGATTTCATCACAAAGTAGCAATGTTTCAGAGCCATGTAGGACCCCTTCTGCAAGTCACATGCCTGCAGAAGGGGTCCTACATGGCTCGGAAACCTCACTACTTTATTCTGTGATGTTAGCATTTTAATAAATCGTTTGGACATTTTTTTTGAAGATCCTTGGTGTGCTGGTAATATACTGTATCTTGTAATCTTCTCATGAAGGTCCTGTTAGCATTCCACAATAAGGATGCCAGGAAAAAAAAAAAAAAAAAATCACTAGGGTGACCATAGGTCAGTGATGTGGGTAGGGTTCAAAAACATGACTTTTCAGTGTATTGCTTTAAAGTCAAGGCAGTGCTAGGAACTGCTTCCAGTTGATCCTGCTAGACACTAAATCCCTCAAGTGGGAGATATGTCTTAAGAAGAGTCAAGCAAAACAAGAACGCAACCAGCTTTGATGGAAAGGAAAAAACTCAGCTGCAGAGGAGAGGAAAAATGAGATTCAACAGGATCTCATTCCCAAGGATAATTTTCAACCATGGTAGGAATCAAATCACAGAGTGACTTGAAATTCTGGATAGATACACAATAGGATGCAGTAATACCAAAATGGGCAGCTATAAACAATGCCCAACCCAAAAAGGTTTAGAGTAGAAACTACAAGGGGATGCTTGAGCACCCCAACTGCAAGCAAATAAACCCGTGAAAAACCCAGGAAGATGAAAATACAGCCTCTCACTTGCAAAATAGAGGACTAAACAGATGGAATTGAAGACTTAAGGCCTGAGATCTGCTGCTTGATTGGGAGGTAGACTGATAATCCACAAGGTATTACTATAGTAGCAGATGAAGAATGGTGTTACTCCACCCTATTTACAGATCTCCTGTGCCAAGGTGTATACTCCAATCACCACAGATACTAGGCATGACATTGCCAAGAAAAGAACTGAAGAGATGCTTCACCTTAAAGGGTGAGTCAGTCATGTGCTCCTTGTATGTATACTAAACGTCCAAAGCACAAAACCAAAGTGCCCTCTGCATAAGAACAGACGTTACGTGGTCTTTTACAAGCTTGGATGCTTGTAAAAGACCGTCAAAGATGAGCCACAGAGCTCCACACATTTGATCCAAAAGCTCCAGTATACAAGGAGTTTGTCCATTAAGTGAAAGGTCAACTTTAATAAGATTGATCCACAGTGACATGGACACTCAAATCAGAGTCAGCGCCAGCAGGTGACAGAGGGGTTGATTTACTAAAGGCAAAATAGATTGTGCGCTTTGCAAAGTGCAGTTGAATTCTGCAAGAGCAGTTGCTCCAGAGCTTAATAAATGAGCAGAAGCTCTGACTTACATCATCCAGTCATGTGCAAGCAAATGTGCTTTTTTGTTTGTTTTCCTTGCACGTGATTGGGTATTCCTTGCAAAGTGAATCTTTACCTCATTTACAAAGCTCTATAGCAATTGCACTTGTATGGTGCTCTATTTGCCTTTAGTAAATCAACCCCAGATTGTCACTGCAGATAACTGGACACCTAAATAAGGATTCTGTTTGTTGTGTGCAACCCCTGTAGGTTAAAGTGTCATTAAAACCACATCATAAAAAAACATCAATAAATGCTTTATTACATGCCGTCTCACTCAGTCACTATGGGATTTGTTTTCTGTATTCTGCAAAAAAACCTGGTTCAT